TCAAAGACCATCTTCTTTGCTTGTCTTAATTTCTTTAAAATACATAGGACTATTTAAAAAGCAAAAATTATAAAACTATACTGGGGGTTTATAACATTTGTTGATACATCTTGACAGATGTAATAAAGATGCACAGAACTGCTGTCAAGAGAACTAGGCACTTACTATCTCCTTAACATTTTATATGAAGTGCATGTACAATGTTAATTCTAAGCAGACTGTGAAAAGTTAAAGATGTATATTGCAATGTTAAAGATGTATATTGAGCAACCACTAAAAAAATGTTCAAATAGACATAGTTAAAAGAGTCAACAGAGAAATTAAAATGGAATTCCAGACAATATTCAGTTACTCTCTCCTACCTCCCTAAAAAGGCAAGAAAGAAAAAACAGAGGAGGAAAAAAGAGTTCCAAGATGTAGCCAATAGAAACTATATGGAAAAATGGCAGAGCTAAATCCAACCACATAAATAATTACATTAACTATATATGAACTTAACATTCCAAATTAAAGCCTGAGGTTGTTAGACTGCATTGCTAGACAACGCCCAACTATGAAGACACACACTTTAAATATAAAGACATCAAAAACTATAAAACACTGCTGACATAAATGAAAGAAAACGTAAAAAGTGGAGAGATATACCATATTTGTGCATAAGAACACTCAATACTGGTATCAATTCTACCAAAACTGTTCTACAGACTGAATGCAATCTCAGTCATAATCCCACTAGGCCTCTTTTGCTGACAAACTGATTTCTAAAACTTATACAGGAATGCAAAGGATCTAGAATATTTAAAGCAATTTTGAAAAAGAAGAACAAAGCTGAAGTCTTAAATTACCTGATGTCAAAACTTAGAGTAAAGCTAAAGTAATCCAAACAGCATGGTATCACAGTGACAGATAAAGAAGCCAAAGAAACAGAACAGAGAGCCCAGAGATAAACCTACACTTACTAGGTCATTTGACTTTTGAACTAGTGCCTCTACAGGTACCAAATCAATCAATGGGGAAATCAAATGATGTGGGAACAATCAGATACTCCTATGGTTAAAAAAAGTTCTTCACTCCTTACTTCACATAATATAATATACAAAACTTAATTTGAGACAGTTCTCAACGTACAATCTAAATCCATGAAGCATGTAGGAGAATACTATCTGTATAACCTGGGAGTAAGTAAAATTTCTCAGACAAGATACAGAAAGTAGTTACCGTTACAAAAAACACACTGATAAGGCAGATTTTACCAGAATTTAAAACTCTATTCATTAGAAGATGCCATAAAGAACATGATGAGGCCAACTACAGACTGGGAGAAATTATTTCCAAAAAGTATCTGACAAAAGGACTTACAACCAGAACATATGAATTTTTATGACTTCATAATAAAAGGAAAACAATAAATACATAAAACAATGTGGGTAAAAGATATGAACAGACACTCAACAAAGATACACAGTTGACCCTTGAACAACATGGGGGTTGGGGTGCCAGCCCCCACTTCATTGAAAACCCTTGTGTAACTTTACAATGGGCTCTCTCTGTATGCCATTCTGCATCCCCGTATTCACCACACTGCATACCGTGTGGTACCACAGTACTGTATTTACTGAAAAAATCCATGTATAAGTGGCCCCACACAGTTCAAACCCATGTTGTTGAAGGGTCAACTGTACAAACAACCCATGAGCACAAGCAAAATTGCTCGAAATCACTAACCATCAGGAAGGCAGAAATTAAAGCCACAATGAAACACCCACCGGAATAAAATCAAGATGCCTTTCAACACCAAGTGTTAGCAGCGATGCGGAGCGACTGGAACTCTGTTTACACTGCAGATGGAATGTAAACCGGTACAGCCCTTTGGGAAAAGGTCTGGCAGTGTCTTATGAAACTAAAAAAGCTACCTTCTGATCAAGCAGTTCTACTCCTAGTTACTAGCCCCAAAGAAATGCAAACATATGCCTACGAAAAGGTCTGTACAAGAATGTTCACTATAGCTTATTCACAATAGCAAAAAACTAGAAACAACTGAAAAACAAAGGCATAAACTGTGGTACGTTTATAAATGATGCTCAACATTAGGAAGATACCAGAATCTTGAGGAAGAAGGAAAGAAAATATAGTTTGAAAATAGTCTCTCCAGGTGATCCTGATATACACCACCTAGAAAGACATTCCACGTTAGAAATAATCAACTTACAAATGAGCTTTTGGAAATTAATTCATATGAAAACATTTTCTGATGGACAGTGAAGAGTCGACCATGAGGACGCATTCTAAACCAGGTCTACTGTGGGAATTTCAGAGCAGGCTTGTGGGTGCAGGAGGCAAAGGTATGGTTGTTTCACACATCTGGCCCAGAATCAAAGGATTACTTTGATATCACTTTGGTATGACTTACCTGGTTTTCCTGGGCAACATATTTACTTTTCCAAATATAATTTTATTTGACCAATGCTAGCATTTGTTTATTAGTGGCTGAGTCCACACAAACTGCTAATGCCCTAGGGCCTAAATGTGTGGTTAGAAGGTGGTAGGATTTGTTACCGTAACCTGTAATTTATTGTCAGATAATTAAGAACTGATCGTAACTATTCATCAAAATGGAGTCCAGTTATGAGGTCCACAAATGTAATTGTTAGGAAATCATTTGCAAGTAACAAAATTCCTAATACAGCATAGAAATATTGTTTAAAATCTTGACATTTTTTCTAAGACCATCTACAATACTACATAACTGCGAATACATGTTCATACCAAGAAGAGTATACCCTACGTGAAATGTGATTAGCATCTATAGGAAGGGAAAACAAACTTAGTGTGAATCTGGACTCAAATTATAGTTTTATTTGTGAAAGATATTAATTTTTTTTTAAAATACTTGAACACCTTATGCCTTCCTAAGTGCTGCTGAAGGACTTACAACTTTATGTGCCAGCATAAGAAACTGCTGAAAGCTTGTTATTACACAAAATTTAAACATTTCCTCATTTTGAGAGATGGCTTCAATGGACAATGACCCTCTTAATCTGAGTTAACAATAACTTGAGAGAAAATAGAGTCTAGAGCTGTGTTTCTCTAGCTTTGTGCCACCCCCTGTCCTGGCCAAGTACAAATTTCATACTCCACTAACTTATACTTTGAAGACGTATTTTCACCCCCAACTGTAAAACTACATGATCTATGCTTCTTCAAACTACCAGTGACACCTTCTGCCCCAGAAGATTCCGCTATTCCTCCCCTTCCTCGTGTTTGGGAATTCTGAAGTACATGGACAAAATTAAGTTTTAGTGACTAAGTATGGGATCTTATTGACATTGTCCATGCTTCTAGAAAAGAGGAACTTCTGTTTTGGAATCAGTGTGTGTGGGGGGTGGGGGCGGGGACAGGCACCCAGTGGTCTCTGGAGCGGAAGCCCTGCAGGCAGAGCCGGGCTGAGACGCAGTGGCCCTGCCGCTGGCAGGGGTCTGTGGCGCCTGCTCCCTTGGTTCCAGCAGTGGTGGAAGCAGATGGTGGCCACGGTCAGCATGGCTAATGGAAATGGAACTGCCCAGGACAAGGGCCCACTGAGAGGCCTGGCTCCTGACCACTTCTGACTGGCCACAGCTCAGCTCCTAAAGCAGGAGTGGGGAGACCCCCAGAAGCCAAGACTAGCAGCCACCAGGAGTGCCCACCCTATAGCTGATCCTCTTTAAAGCAAAAGGGAAAAGGAGCTTGACAAATAGAAGCTTTCAGCTTTTAACAGTCAAACGTCTGTTTTGAATACCAAAGGATTCCTGTTTATGCTGTCAGTACTGTGCTCAGATACTATGGTTGGATATTTATAATATTACAGACTTATCTCTATGTCACTGAAGTTACATTTCCTCTAAAGCTCTAGAAAAGGGGAGGCAATGACTTGAACAGAAGTCTGTTCTAATTTCAAAGCTGAGGTATTGTTAAGAAGATGAATCATTAAGTTCTTCAGATCTCCAAAAAGTATACTTCGTTGTGCTTTCCTCTCATCAAACATCATAACTTTCTGAGTTATTTTCTTGAATGCTCGTACCTGACTTCTATATTATGTGAGTATTTTTGGAGTTATTGTTGTAGGACTAAAAAATTCTGAGAAATCAGCCTAAATCATGAAAGGTTAATTCCCTACAGTTTTTCTAAGTAATTTACTATAGTTAATGACAAAAGGAAAATAAAATTGATTCAGGGACCAGTTCTTCTGTAATTTTCAGGTAGACATACGAATTCTGCTCCAGTAAGCCTATTTCTGCAAAACTAAGAGACCTTGCCAAAACACTAATCAATCACAGCGGTTACATTTGCATACTCTGGTATATAAGCAACAATCTCCAACATCAACTATTACAAACAAAGACGCATTAAAAGAAAAATAAAATTGCAAAAGAAGAATTGTTTGCTTTCAACTTACATGATAATTCTAAGTCCAGGGGAGAAATCAACAGTATTCTTAATACTGTGCCCAGATAGATCTACAGAGTCTACTACAATTCATCAGTAAAGGTACTGCCTAATTTCCAATAATACCTCATACGTGTAAAAATTTGAATGCCACATTGATCTTTTGTACATAATTTTATAATAATTTAAAACTCAAATTTAACAGCTCCTGAATCATCATCATCCGGCAATAAAGGCTTATTCAAGCAAGGAAATCAAATGATGTGAAGGCAAATAAAAAGCATTTTGGTTATAATACTGCCTCCTGCCTTATTGGATATTCACACTTATGTCATCTAGGTTTTCTTTTACACATGAATATAATCCCTGTTAAAACACACACACATATACTTACAACTCTGATTATAGTGGTGATGAACAGTGAAATAAAAAGACTTTCTGTTTACTAGTAAAAATATTAACTCTAAAATGTTTTTAGTTTGCAAGCAAATGTGCCTACCAAAACCAAACTGAAAACTTGGCGGTGAAAACCGTGTCTGTGCACATCGGGTGCTAAGGACACGCCCTGCAGCACTGACCTTGTACGCCTGCATGAGCATGTGGATGACACCGGGAGCCCCGTGACACCAGTGCACCAGTCGGTCTGTCTCATTGCTTAGGGATGACGGATAATTCCCAGATCGGAATCTTTTGTGGCGCATATAGTCAATACTAGGTTTCACCATTTCTGTCAAGGTTTCTTGGTCCACTTTTGCTGCTGGCTTTTAAACAAACAAAAATAAAACATTTAATTTATGTTTCCATAAGCTTTTTTTTTCTTTTTTTTTAAACCTCTGCATTGTGGCTAATATAGTTAAGCATCAATTACCCAGAATACTGAGGAACACATAAAATTAGAATTAATCCACTTCTCTGGTTACTTAAGGCCTGGGCAGACCTTTGCATCAACCCTTTCCAATGCTGTGCATGAAACTGATGGCCATCCGCTGGGGAATTCCCTCTTGCTCGGGGGAGGCAAGTGACTGGATGAGGCCCACCCACAAGCGGAGAGCAAACTGCTTTACTACAAGTCCACCTGTTTAAATGTAAGTATCACCCAAACTCCCTCACAGACACACCCAGAATAATGTTTGACCAAATAGCTGGGCAATGGCAGCCCAGCCAAGTGAACACATACAATTCACCACCACAGACAGCGAGCCACCTTTTTTAGTGGGGACTTCCATATACCTATACCTACACATCTTTTATCTGAGCTGTTTCTCCAGAAGAGAGACTTCACTCCCCCAGGTGAGGTGGTGGCCGTGTTGCCGGCCGGGGCGGGGAAAGGTGCTGGCGCAAGGCTGGCTGTGGCAGCAGGGAGGTCTCCCGCTGACCGTGTGGACAGTCACCGAGCCCCGCTTTCAGTCTGTGCTCCGCCTCCACTCTCCTCTCCACCTGCTTTTCTGGAGCCAGGAGAACTGGTCTGACTGCTCCAGACCACGCACTGTTTCCTGCAGTCACCTCACCCTGCACAGTGATCTCAGTGCACAGGCCCAGCTGGGCCGCACAGCATTTCCAGAGAAGCTCCCCCGCAGCCCGGACCTCACTCCCACCTGAACACACGCGTGGCGCCGACACCGAGGGCGCCGTAAGCTCCCGAGTGCAGGGGCCTGCAGGACACCTGGCTGGCTTCTTGCTGGCATCCTCCTCCTCAGGCACCTTGTGCGGGCAGCCCTGTCCCGTCAGGTCCCCTGCTGTTCCTTCGTTCCTTCGTCCGTTCTCAGTCCACTTGTCGCACAGGGCTCCAGAAGTCTCCGAGTCTCATCAGAGAAGCTGGGTGTCTGTTTTCTGTTTTCCTTGAGGTTTTGAATTGATTTTCCAGAGGAGAACTGTGCTTTTATTCTTCATCGTGAGAGCGGAGTTCCCTTTAAGTGATACTTTGAAAGTTCTTGTGTATGTCGTTCTGACAGCTGTCCAGATGAAACCACACATGGAGCCCCCGCACAGCTAGGCTGGCATCGCTGGGGAGCGGCGTGTGCGGCTGGCCTCGTGAGCCCAGCTCTGGCACACCGCTGCTATCCACCAGGAGAACGCTGACACCAGTTTCTAAATAGGATCCTCGTGAAAGAGTGTTTCCACGTTCTTCACTTTAAAAGCAGATGAGCTGTAAATTTTATGATTCGTGATTCTCTCAAGGAACCCCCCAGTATCTAGCAAAATTAAACTAAACACCTAAATCTAAATTATTTTTTATTGGTGTGATTCTCATATGATTATGTTTCCCTTAAAGGTATGATCACTTTTAAAACAGGGTTCAAAAGCCACTGTTAAACCCTTTTTCTGGGAAAATAGAGAAAAACGGACAATCTACCAACCGTCTAGAACAACACTGCCATTTTAAAATGAGACATGGAATTGATTATTTTGGAAACATGTCTGCACCTAGATTCACAAATTGGAATACATACGTGTTTTACTTTCTACAATGATAACCAAAGACACCTACTAATCACCAGAGAAGGGAGTTCTAGGCCTGTGCAGACCGGAATCTCCTGTTTTCCCTTAGTGAGGGGCAGCATGATGCAAAATGTAAAAATAAAACAGGAATTTGTAAGTGAAAATTTAAAAAAGGAATACATGGGCTTTTAGTTAAAAAGATCTAAATTCTAATCCATGCTCCTTGACTTACTAGCGTTGTAATTTTGAATAAATTTATAAAGTACTCTGTTATGGGTGTAGTAGAATAAATAAAGGCTTAATTGGGGGAAAAAACAAACAAACAAGAGGCACAGCCAGACCGTGTTTTACTGTTCTTTGCTTCCCTGTGCTGCACTTGCGGTTTTTAAAAATTGAAGGCTTGCAGCACCATTTTCCCAATAGCATTCGCTCATTTTGTATCTCTGAAACATTTTGGTAATTCTCACAATATTTCAAACTTTTTCATTGTTATGTTTGTTATGGTGATCTGTGATCTTTGATCTTACTATTGCAAAAAGATTACAACTCACTGAAGGCTCAGATGATGGTTAAGCATTTTTTAGCAACAAAATATTTTTAATTTCAGGTAAGTACACTTTTTTTTTAAGACAATGCTATTGCACGCTTAACAGACTACAGCATAGTCTTGCTTCACTGCGACGTTTTGCTTTATTGCAGCAGTCTGGAACTGAACCCGCAACGTCGCCGAGGTCTGCCTGCAGGCTGCATACAGAGCGGAAGAGGGACCCACAGGCCATAAGGCTGGAAGCAGGTTGAAGCAGTATTTGGGGTGAGGTCTTTGACTGCCTGACGCAAGAGTCAGTATTTAATTCAGTATGTGTCAGGGATGATTCAGAGACAAAATCATAACCACAGCAATAAACTAGTTAAATTTTGAACACAACTGATAGGAAGTTGGGGGTATCTGAATATGAAGTCTCTGCCCTAGTCTGCATTCTGGAAGCCCTCTCTGCTCCCCGAAGGTTTTCCCCTATTAAAAGAGCAGGAGGACATGGACAGAAAGAAAGTGTGGGCCACAGACAACTAATCCAACACGTAACTGCACACAGAATGTGCTCTCAGGAGGCCACTGCTTGGGGATCCATGGTTCAAAGCAGGATCCTTATTTCATTTCAGCCTGCTTGGTTTGTAGTAAAATGTCAGTACACATTTCCGATTTGATCTAGTATTTTATAATACGGTCACTGCACTAGTATTTCAGAGTATCACTCACCTGCATTAACATGTAGTAGATTCCGGCCATGCCATGGGCGGCTCCAACATACTGCTTCCTGTGCCACTGATACAACAGGGGACAGCGCTCAGCCTTCTTTTCTTCCCTTGACAAAGCCTTGCCCGATTCAATAATAGCGTCGACTACCTACAGACATAACGAGATAGCATAAGTCTAAAAAACTTACATGTAATCTGTTTCAGTCTAATTAACAATAACAACATGCCTTTATATAGATTACTTATTCTAAAAATCTTTAAGCAGTTAGTAGCCAACACTGTTATCTTTATTTTATAAATAAATACAGGCAGAGAGAAACCAGAAGACAATCTCAGAGCAGAAAAAGATATTAAGAAGTAGAACCAAGAGATCAAAAGGTCTTTCCATGAACAGTTTACTAGAACCTGGAAAAACTTCCAATAAAAACTATCCTAGACTTAGTTGCTTTGTAGCTTCAATGTTTTCCCCCAAACACTGGCAAGTACAGTCGGCCCTCCATATTTGCTGCGGGTTTCACACCCACGGATTCACCAACCTCAGATCAAAAATACTGGTAAAAAAACATTCCAGAAAGTTCCAAGAAGCAAAACTTGAATTTGCTGCACGTGCGCAACTTTTTACATAGCATTTATGTGGTGTTAGGTATTATAAGTAATCTAGAGATGATTTAAAGTACATGGGACGATGTGCACAGTTTATATGCAAATACATACCACTTTATATAAGGGACTTCAGCATCCCGGCGTTCTAGTATCCAAGGGGGGTCCTGGAACCAATCCCTAACAGGTACTAAAGGATAACTGTACATCTTCCAAGGCTGAAGGAACTGGCTTTATTTATGAAAGGCTAAGGAAGTGGGGTCTGTTGCAGGATTTTAGAATGACTATGTGGCAAAGACAGTAATTCTTTCCTCATATCCTCTCTCCCCTCACACTTTTGGTAACAGTGCCCCAAGTTTTAGCAAGGCATCTGGCCTCAGAGATACAAACAGCTGGACACGGTCATCTGACTGAGTTCTGGAAGTGGGATGGGAGCAGAAGTGAGGTGGGCAACTTCTAGTTCTCAGGCTTAAAAAGGAAGCTGCTCATCTCCCACTTCCTCACCGCCCCCTGGGCTGGGGGTGCCCAGCGAGCTGTGGTCGTGCACATAAGGGCACGGTCCTAGGATAAGGCAGAACAAGACAGAAGCTGGTGCCTAGCCATATTCGCCTGGTTTGCCTACCAGTTCTGATACCTCCTGAAAGAGAAATAAACATTCTATCTTCCTGACGCTGCTGTTTGATTCTAGTAAAGACAGCTAAATTAATACAGACCTAAAGTTTTTTTAAAAACATCCCTGGAAGAGAAAAAAGGAGCAATTTATTAATTTTATGAGTGGCCTTGGGAAGTTACTCCTACCTAGAAGCAGAGTCCAGCCACTACTGCAAGTTTCTGCTAGCAGACAGGCTGCGTGGCAGATAGGAGAGGACGCCCCGGGGCGGGACCCCACAGTACCTCTTTGACAGCTGACCCACACACGGCGCCCGGCCCCATCTCCGTGCTCACGTAGAGTAAGGCGTACAGATAGCCTGCCCGGCCCTGAAGCAGCTCGTCGGGAAGGTCTGAATCTCGGCAGACGATGGCTCTCTGGAGCTGCAAAAGTCTACCCAACAAGAAACATCCTGCTTTCCCAGAGAGAGAATGTCTAACATACCTCTTCCTGAAACTGCAAGGAACCCTGTCACTTTAGGAACCATCTGCTACTATTTTTAATTTAAAACTAATTTTTAAAAATACCAAAAAAGAGGGAAAACAACGAAAACTTCCCCACTACAAAACCAAACAAAAACTTCTCTCTCAGATATCATCAACACGAATGATAAAACACCTTGCTGTTCAAAAGTTCTACATTTATATCTAAAATGTATAGGATATATGCATATAAGAGAAGATACTCTAAACCATATACGAGAAGATACTCAATTTTGTAATCCAGAATTACAAGACAGTGATTTCAAATTTTAACAAAAATGTTACTAAAATGTAGCCAATGCTTGAAAATTAGCTTGAGTCACCCCATCTTTAACAAACATTAACCGACCAGCACCTGCCAGACACTCCACCAGACCATGGCCGTGAGCTCTGATTTCTGCTGCTTCAAAAGAGAATATAAACCAAAAGGTACCATAAAAGCTTACATTCTCTAATTGTTTCCTAACAATTGAACCTAAAACAACTGAGTTACTATAGAGAATCTAAGGCATATAAGGTAATTTTCATGCATTGAAGGCAACCAAAAATTATTTAGGAAAGAACATGTTTATTCCTCCCTCAAATTAAGGCAAACGCATGCTTGGATAGAAAGGTAGCATACAATCCCACCATTACGCTCAAGATTAAACTACAAACTCTTCGCTTATTGGAGAGAACTGTCTGCAAGAGCAGGTGAATTAAAAGATAAATTCTTTTTCGTTTTTTGAGTTTCTTTCTACATCAAGACTGAGAATTTGGAGAAAATACTTCCAGTTGTAAAAACTCACTTTGTGATGCATTCCTGGGACTCGTAATCACTTCTGAGTTTATGATATACCACAGCTCCGACGGCCAAGGGCCCAGCATCTCCACAGAGGAAAGTGACCCTCCGGCCATTCAGATTCCGAAGTGTTCTCTTTACGTAATCCAGGGATCTGAGCAGATAGGTCTGGTCACATGTGACCCGATACAACTGCAGGTACAAAAGGGCTATGCCTGGAATAATCACCACCACCCCCCCGCAAAAGAAAAGCATTATTGTCTTTCCTTTTTACTGTCAGGACATTATTTCATGATTACGTGAAAAACCTACATAAAGCCTACGTTTCTGAAGGAGTAACTTCAAACAAATTACATATGATATGTTTCTTAAAAATGGGGGAAAAAAAGAACCCAGTGTAGAAAAAATTGCAGACAAGTTAAAATGTTGCTAACTGTTCTGACACAATGATTCACTACCTCCTAGATAAGGGAAATACAAGACTTCCCACTCATTCCCCTTTAATTTTCATTCGTTTCCAGGTTGTACTTATTCTCCTTTGTATTATAAGCTAATCTGGATCCTTTTCTTCTTACTTCTCATATAATAATGTCCTCCTATCTTATGCCAAATTACATGATTGCTTTTCTGAGTTTTATACCATCTTCTTTCTAATTTATCTATTTCTCACAATTTTTCAATTTTCTTTAGTGACCAACCAACCAGTGAGTCAACTCACCGTTTACAGAACAGCTACATGATGCAGAGTAAGGTAGTGAATTCAGAAGACATAGCTTATCACCTACCCAAACTTCCTATTTTAGATTAAAGAACAGATCTGGTTACTCAAGGGAAACAGAGAGGGGTCTTTTTCCGAAAATCTATGGAGGATGACCTATATGACTTCTAAAAGGAGCATGCCATTATTCCTGGGCTCAAGAAGTCAATGTGACAGATAAGTAATAAAGGAATCTGTATAAATATATACCTAATAAAGTATACTGTAGGAAAAAATACTTAAAGAAATGATATGATGGTGAAAAGGCAAAAAAATCTATTAATGTTTGAACTGAGGTTCGCTAATATTCTGTTCTTTGTCTGATATCCTACTCTCACTTTTAATATTTTTCATTTTGCTTTTCAAATTTCTCTAAACAGGTAGCTTCTTCTTTCATTCTCCTATTCAGGGTATCCTACTTGCCTTTCGAATTAATTCTTAACACCTACATATATTTTTTGAGAAGTCCTTCTTTTGTCATTATCCATTTTTTCTTTTAAAGACATTAAGTCAAAATGTATTTGTAAGCCCTGAAAAAAATCCCTCCATATGAATTGCTTATGACCTCCTTGAGTGTCTTCTGCATTCAAAAACTTGAAATGATAAACATATAGAAAACAAGTTCGCAGTTAAATACCTACAAATTTCAAACATAATAATCACTATAAAAGGTTTACAAGTACTTCATGATTGACTCAGAAACCCCTAAAAATAGGATGATGATCTGGTCAACCTGTGAACCTAAAAACCTATGGTTGTATACATTCAAAGCTTAAGTATTTTAAAGTAAATGATGATGGGTAAAGTATCAAAAAAAAAAAAGTCATCATGACATTCTGCCCCTGAATACTTCAGTATGAAAATCTAAAATATATGAACCTTTTCTTACAAGCCAAAAGAGCACCATAACTATCAAAATTAATACTTAGTGAGACTGAGCTGTGTTTTGTTTTTTTTTTTTGTAGATCTTTATATCAGTTTTGGTACCAGTATTAACCTTGCTTCATAAAACAATGGGACGTATTCCTTATTTTCCTATTCTCTGAAACACTGTAAGAGGAGCACTGAGATTTCCTGTTCTTTAAAAAAAAAATTGTCTCTTTTTATTAGTTTATTGTTTCTTTTTCCCGTTTTATTGAGGTATAATTGACAAATAAAACTGTATATATTAAAGTGTACAACAGGATGATTTGACATACAATGCGGAAATATTACCACAATCAGGTTAACACATCCATCATCACACACAGTTATCATTGTGTGTGTGTGTGCGTGTGTGTGTGTGTGTGTGTGTGTGTGTATGAGAATGCTTCAAATCTACTCTCTTAGCAGATAACAAGTATACAATACACTGTGTGTATGTATAAAAATGCTTAAAATCTACTCTCTTAGCAGATTACAAGTATACAAATTACAAGTATACAATATAGTCCCAGGTTGTACATTAGATCTATAGAACTGGTATATCTTATAAGTGAAGGCTTATGCCCTTTGACCACCATTTCCCCATTTCCCCTACTACACAACCCCTGGTAATCACCATTATATTGTTTCCATGAGTTTGACATTTTGTTTGTTTGTTTTAGAATTAATATGTATGTGAGATCATACAGTTTGTGCCCTTCTCTGTCAGGCTTTTCACTTAGCATAATACCCCCTAGGACCATCCATATTGTCAAAAATGACAGGATTTCACTTTTTCTTGTGGCTGAACATTCCATTCATAGACAGCATAACATTCCATTAGATATAGTTAGAGAGATGGATCAATCGATCACAACTTCTTTATCCATTCAAGGATGGATGGATATTAGTTGTTCCCATATCTTGGCTATTGTTAATAATGCTGCTATAAACATGGGGGTGCAGATGTCTCTCTGAGATACTGACTTCCCCAGAAGTGAGACTGCTGGATCATATGGTTCTATTTTTAGTTTTTTGAGGAACCTCCATACTGTTTTCCATAGTGGCTGCACCAATTTATGTTCCCACCATATACTAGGGTCCCCTCTTCTCCACACCCTCACCAACACTTGTTCTCTCTTGTCTTTTTGACAAAAGCCTTCCTAATAGGTGTGACGTGATATCTGCAGTTTTTGATTTGCACTTTGCTGATAACTAGTGACGTTGAACACTTTTTCATATATGTGCCAGCCATATGTATGTCTTCTTTGGAAAAATGTCCACTCAGGTCCTTTGCCCATATTTTAATTGATTATTTATTTTTTGCTATTGAGTTATATAAGTTCCCAATATACTCTGGATACTAACCTCTTAGCAGACATATGGCTTGCAAATATTTTCTCCTGTTCTATAAAGCTGCCTTTTCATTTCAACTGTTTCCCTTGCAGTGCAGGAACTTTTTAGCTTGACCTACTCCCGCTTGCTTATTTTTTTATTTTATTGCCTGTGCTGTTGGTGTCATATCCAAAAAGTCATTGCGAAGACCCAAGGAGCTTTTCCTTTGTTTTCTTCTAGGAGTTTCACGGTTTCAGGCCTTACATATTTAAGTCTTTAATCCATTTTGAGTTAATTTTTGAGAGCGGTAATAAGACAGGGATCCAGTTTGATTCTTTTGCACGTGGCAATCCAGTTTTCAGCATTTATTGAAGAGGCAATTTTCCCCACTGTGTGTTCTCGGTTTCTTTGTCAAGAATTAATGAACCATTTATGTATGGATTTCCTCCTGGGCTCTCTATTCTGTTCCATTGGTCTCTGTGTCTGTTTTTATGCCAGTGACATATTGCTTTGATTACTATACCTTTATAATATACTTTAAAATCAGGAAGTGTAATGCCACCAGCTTTATTCTTCTTTCTCAAGATTGCTTTGGCTATTCTCGGTCTTTTGTAATTCTATATGAATTGTAGGACTGATTTCAATTCCTTTGAAAAATACCATTAGAATTTTGATAAAGACTGTATTAAATCTATAGATCACTTTGGGTAGTATGGATATCTTAACAACATTAATGCTTCCAATCCATGAACAGAGAATATTTTTCCATTTATTTGCAGCTGCTTCAATTCCTTTCATCAATGTCTTATAATTTTCAGTATACAGGTCTTTTACCTCTTTGATTAAATTTATTCCTAAGTATTGTTCTTTCAGGCTATTGTAAACAGAATTGTTTTCTTAGTTTCTTTCTTCAATAGTTTGTTGTTAATGTACAGAAGAAACTGATTTTTGTATATTGATTTTATATACTGCAACTCTGCTGAATTGATTAGTTCTAACAAATTTTTTCGGTGGATCTTCAGGGTTCTTTACATATAAGATTATGTCATCTGCAAGCAGAAGCAACTTTACTTCTTCTGATTCGGATGCCTTTTATTTATTTATTTATTTTTGGGCAGGCCTTAATTGCTCCCCCCTAGAATTTTCAGTACTATGTTAAATGGAAGTGGCAAGATTGAGTGTCCTTGTCTTGTTCTAGATCTTAGAGGAAACGCTGAGTATTGTTAGCTGAGTACGAGTATCCTTGAGTATGACGATAGCTGTGGGCTTATCATATATTGCTTTTGTGATGTTGAGGTACATTCTTTCTGTACCAAATTTGAGAGTTTTTATTATGAAAGTATGTTGAGTATTATCAAATGCTTTTTCTGCATCTACTGAGATGATCGTGATTTTTATCCTCCATTCTGTAAATGTTGTGTATCATATTTATTGACTTGTGTATGCTGAAACATCCTAGCATCCCTGGGATAAAACCCATTGATCATGCATATTCTTTTAATGTGCTCTTGAATTGTGTTTGCTAGTATTTTGTTGAGGATTTCTGTATCTGTGGTTTATCAGAGATACTGACCTTTAGTTTTCTTCTTTCCTTCAGCTTTTTTGGAACAGTGTGAGAGGGACTGGTATTAATTCTTTAAATGTCTGACAGAATTCACCAGTAAAATCATCAGGTCCTAGGCTTTTGTTGGGAGGTTTTTGATTACTGATTCCATCTCTTTACTCATTATTGGTCTGTTTAGATTTTCTGTTTCTTTATGATTCGGTTTTGGTAGGCTGTATGTTTCTAGGAGCTGATCCATTTCTTCTGGGTTATCCAATTTGCTGGCTTATAATTGTTCATTGTAGTGTTTTATGATCCTTCCTATTTCTGTGGTATCAAGTATAATGTCTTCTCTTTTACTTCAGATTTTATTTACTTGGATCTTCTCTTTTGTTTTCTCAGCTAGGCTTGGTAAATTGCCTATTTTGTTTATTTACTGAAAACCCAACTCTTAGTTTCACTGATCTTTTCCACTGCTTTCTGGTTTCTATTTCACTTATGTCTGCTCTGATCTTTCTTATCTCCTTTCTGCTATCTTTGGGTTTAGTTTGTTCTTGTTTTTCTAGTTCCCTGAGGTGTAAAGTTAGGTTCTTTATTTGAGACCTTTCTTTTCTCTTAATGTAGTTGCTTACTGCAAGGTACTTCCCTCTTAGAACTACTTCTGCTACATCCTATTA